TATTTTCCTTTAATTAGATACTGACATTACATTTTTAAATGCATTTCAAATAAATTAATTATCTGAAATCACTGTTGGTAAAATAGCTTAGAACTACATGAATACTTACATATATACCTGTAACTGATACAAGCAAGGAGGTTACGTAAAACTGTTTGTACTTTATTAAGCTTGGTGGCCTGGAGACTGTCAATTTAATGTGTGCTTTTGTTCAGGGCTTCAGCGTTGACTTTGTGAAACTAGTGCAGCCAAATTCATACAAACCCCAAAAACAGACATTATTCAAAGAGATGCACCTTATGGCCATAACATGTCTTTGTTCAATATGAATAGATTTCTCTATTAATCTACAGTTAAAGCAGCTGTTAACATTTTAACACACAAAGCTTTAATTAGACTATGAAAAAAATACCGGAAAACACAAGGACCAAACTGTGGTTGTCTGTTGTGTTAAAAATCAGCAAAATCAGCAGCACTTTCTCACTTTGTCCCAGCCTGCAGTTGAATTCATCCTCCCAGAACTCAGTAAGCACTGGAGAGGCTGCCACTTTAGAGGGAGAGAGGTCCAGCAGGAAGTCTCTCAGACCAGGGATGACAGATTTCTCAATGCCAAATCCGATTGCTCCAGCACAGAAGCTGAACTTCAGCATGTCTGGGTCAGTTACCCAGGACTCACTGCCTATCCACTGGCGAGGTGGAGAGGGCTTGAGTGACAGCTCCTCCAGCAGAATCCTCAAGTCTCCAGAGGATGTAAATGCCACAACAACCACAGCTGTCGACCTAGAGAGAAATCATGGTGCATTGTATATGAAAAAATAACTTTTAAAATGATTCATCAAGATAATTAACACCAACACATATGAGATACTTTAGTTGTTAGTGTGTTAATGTGCAGTATTGCTCCACTTCCATAACAACATCAGTATTAGGCCTTGAGAGAAATTAACAAAAAAAATACATTTCCAATTTAACACGAGGATAAGAAAATACTCTTCTATCTTATATTTACAGAACATTGTTGTGGATTTGTGTGCAGAAGGTCAGTATGAGCACAGGGAACAAAAGCACATAATCAGTGAACGTAGAAACCTGCGGATAATGTCAGCTACTCTCTGGATCCTGCTACGTGGGTGGGTCCGATAGAAAGATTCGGAGTATTCCACACAGATCCCCTCTTTGTGTGCTGCGTCCAGGAAAGACGCCATGCCATTGTTTCCATAATCCGAATCCGATCGGATGGCACCTATCCAAGTCCAACCAAAGTGTTTTACCAGTTTGGCCAGCGCGTCAGCCTGGAACTGGTCACTCGGGATTGTTCTGAAGAAACTCGGGTACTGCTGCTTATCGGACAGGCATGCACAAGTTGCAAAGTGGCTCACCTAAAGGAACACAACAGTGTAATGTTTTAACAGGAAGGGCAAAAAATAGCACTGGTCTGTTTAACACACAGTTTGCAGAAATTCAAAATATTTACTTGAGGAATGTTAAAGGGCCCGATGATGCGCGACATGCTGATGGATGGCGTGGACCCAGACTCACCAACAATGGCCATCACCGTACCAGATTGTGAGCAATTGTCACCTGTGTAAAACACTGGGTCCAGACCACTTGATAGCTGGAATGCCACATGCACCGCCACAGGCACAGAGGCGCACGAGTCGTAGATCTGATAACCGAGTTTGATGCCCGGCAGCAGCTCCGTGCTGTTATTAATCTCCTCGATGGCGAAGATCACTGTGCGTGAAAAGCGCAGTTCACGGGAGCTAATGCTGTACACGGACAAACACACACACACACAAACACACACACACACACACACACACACACACACACACACACACACACACACACA